CTGTCCTGACATCCCTTGACTGCTGCCCACCAGCATGCCTGTCTGAAGCGCACTTTGGAGGATAGCATCAGTTAAGCTTTTGGGATGGATTTCTTTTTTTTAAAAAATAGAAAAATACAAGCATACACAGCTGTTTCGTCCCCTTTTAAACTGCTACTGCAACGTCTTGCTCCACCCACGCAGCTTTCCACACTTAGGGAGATGCTAATCCATTTTATCTTTTAATGTTGGCATTATCTCTTGACTCACCCCATCTCTTCCCCTTGTGATTCTGCAATCTAGGTCCCTTTAAGGCAGCAGATAATTTCACCTTTCTTCCCTGTGTTGCCTGAGAAAAGAAACCACAAATTCAAAAGGAACCTCTCCAAGCAGTGGAATCATGGAGCCCCAGAGAGAGACCTGAAGTATACTGTTTCTCTCAGTTGGGAAATAACGCACGAGGCTGCAAAGTCACCTGTAAGTGACTGAGATGGGGAAGGCTGTGATTACAGCTCAGTGACATCCCCCTGTCCAGCAGATTCTGTCACACCAATGTCAGTGTCTGGAGCTTAAGGCTCTTGAGTTCCAGCTTCTGGCTGCTTGCCCTGCCCATGTCTGCACTCTGCTGCCATCCCTTGTCGGTGTGCACCTCCTTGCACCATAACATGTGATTCCGGAGCTGTTTTTTATCCTCTGAAATCCCAGTTTGAAGTATCATTGGCAAGAAAGTTCTCACCTGGTGTCACCAAGGAGAGGGCAATTGATGAAAGCAGGTACTTTTGTGTTTCTTATCTTTTTCCTCAACAAATAAATAAAGTGGTTTAAATAAAAACTCTTGTGAAGAGAGATACTTAGGACAATATAGGAGTTTACCAATAACCCACATAATACACATTATTTTAAGAAACTATGCACTAGGCTAGGTTTATCGACCAGGATTAGGATCAGATTCCTAAAGCGTCTACTAATTTTACTTCCCAACCAACTTAAAGCAAACCACAATCAACTGCTGGCACCACAGCTACATTAAAGCAGGAGCACCTGTGCCTGACCCAAGAGACAGTGGCTCTAGGGGTAAGCTGGGCTGTGTAAATGTTAACAATGTCCTGGATGTGGCTTCATTCCTCATCCACACACACTTTCACTATACTTTACCCATTTATTTTCTCCCTCTTTTCAGGCTTTCAACACCGTAGCTGCCAATGCACATCTCTAGAACACAAGGTGCTGGGGACACCCAAGAGTTGCTAAAGAAGCTGTCAAACTCTCTACATTTCCCAGGATCCAGAGACTAACCATCTCTCACCTTGAGTAAGCCTCAAGAAGTGTGGCTGGACAGTGGCACATGTATAGTTGTATGACCCCTTCCATCAAGTGTCAGATGGGGTAAGGCCCCAGCTTATGAACCCATCTCCCTGAAACATCAGCTCTTGTACCAGTACCTTTGGAAAACAGCATTGCAATGTGCTCTGGGGAGGCAGAAAGCAGGCTGGAGGCATCTCCTCACCTGCAATGACAGCTCAGAGACTGTGATGCCTGCTAGGTCTGCATGCTCCAGAGATGTAAAAACAAAGGTGAGGTTTTCAGAACAAAATGGTGCAAGGGAATAGCGAGACTTGCTGCAGCTTTCTTGCAATAAAAAGTATTTTGAGGAAAGAACTCAGGGTTTCTGTCACTCTGGACAGGAAAAAGTTCTTCAATTAGAGGTTGGCTGGGTGGTGGCATGGGTTGCTGGAGTTCAGAAAGCATCTGCACGGTGCTGTCCAACACATGATCTGAGTTCTGAGTGGTCCTGTGCGGAACTTCTAACCAGGAGTTGGGCTCAATGATTCTTATGGGTCCCTTCCAATTTAGGATATTCTGCGATTCAGAACTCAGACCATGTGTTTGACAGCACCGTGCAGACGCTTTCTGAACTCCAGCAACCCGTGCCACCACCCAACCAACCTCTAATTGAAGAACCTTTTCCTGACACCCGACCTGAACCTCCTGAGTTCAGCCGCCTCAGGTACCACTGCCTGCTGCATTCCCCAGACCGCACGCTTCTTCCCTAATTTTGGGTAGGGGTTCAAAACTGAGAGACGCAGAGGCTGCCAAGCACGTACCTCCTCACACAGCGCGGCGAGCTTGGGAACACGCGTCAAAACCACAAAGGCCCCGACACCGACATCTGGAAGCACTGCCAGCCGCGTGTCGGGAGCCCTCCTCTGCCGCAGGGGTTGCTCGCTGCGAGAGCCGCTTCTCTCGGGCTGCCGCCTCCCAGGAGCCCTAAGCGGGGCGGGACGGAGCCCCCCGCGCTGCGGGCAGAGCAGCCGCCGCCCCGCAGGCTCTTCCCTCGCGCACGACCGCTCGCTTTGGCCGCCTCCAGCTCTGCCGCCGCCCGCGCTCTCCCTGCCTCCCTGCCAGCTTTTCTTCGGGAGCGCTCGCTGCCCTTCCCTGGACGCACTGGGAAGCGGCGCGCCGTCCAGAACGCAGCAAGGCCGCTCCATGTAAGCTATCGGGGCGCCCGGCGCTGCCCGCCGCCGGCCTTAAGGCCACCCGTAAGCTGTGAAACACCGTCGCGCGTTCGACGCGGCCTCGGCCGCCGCGCAGCTCTCCTCAGCGGGGCTGCGCCACGGCGCCGTACTGAGGAGCTCTGAGGCAGCCTGCGCCGCGCCCCCGGCTTGCCGCCCGCACGCGGACCGTTGAGAGAGGGGCTAACGTATTAACGAACGGCCCGGCTCCGGGCACGCGCCAACCAAACCGAGGTTTGGCCCGCGGCGATTCCCGTCCTCGCCGACGTCAGCCGCGTCTTAACGAGCGCTGCGCAGCCGCCCTTGAATAAACCGAGGGGGGGACGCGCCGTCCGATTGGTCCGTTCTGCCGTCCTTCTTCAGCCGGCAGGGGCGTCGGCGGCTCTCGATTGGCCGTCGAGTCGGGGCGGGGAGGGCGGCCGGCGGGATTGGCTGCGGCGGCCGGTGGCGGGTGCGAGGGAGTGCGAGGGGGAGGGGCGGGGGGTCCTGAGGCGCCGCTGTCAGCGCCGCTCCCGCCCAGGCCCGCGCAGCCAGGCGAGCCCGGCGCAGCGCCCTCCGCCCGCGGCGCGGCGCGGCAGGACCATGTCGGCCACGGACGAGCGGGCCAAGGAGATCCTCCGGGGCTTCAAGCTGTATCCGCCCGACGGGGGCCCGAGGGGGAGGCGGGCGGGCGGGCGAGCGAACGGGCCGCGGGCGGGGCCGGGGGGGGTAGCGGGGGGGGGGGGGGGGGGGGGGGGGGGGGGGGGGGGGGGGGGGGGGGGGGTTGGGTATCGCCGTTTCCCTGTGTGAGGGCGGTTGTCATGGCAACGCTCTCCCCCAGCCGGGGCTGTTCCTAGCGCGTCCTGCCCCCCGCCGCGGGTTGCGGGCTCTGTCCCTAGGGACGCGGTGCGGCTCCGTGCGGGCACTGCGGGGCTGCGTGCGGGCACCGCGGGCTCCTTTAGCGGCAGCGCTGCTGTGCTCCGGCTCTTTACGCCTCTCTCTACGGTTCGCGGTAAAAGTTTTCGCCTTGTCGCTCGGCGTGCTGGTCGAGCACGAGTTTGGTGCCGATGCGGAGAGGCAGATGCGGGCTCGGGGTGTCCCTGCGTGCGGCCTAACAGCCCCGGGGAGGGAACGGCTCAGCGTGAAGTCCGTGTGCAAGGGAGAAACGCACAGCTCCCGAATTCAGCATAGCAGATTCTTCTGTGCAGAGCGGGCAGGTGCCAGCTCGGCCTCAAAGCACGAGAAGACCATCGGTTGTATTTTATTTCCCATAATGGAAAGGACGGGAGCAAAGCGAATGCCCTCTTGCTCCAGTGCTGTTATTCCTGAGCGTGTTTTTGGCCAGCGAGGTGCTGATAACCTCCGTGCCAGCTGCAGCACAATCTGAGTTACTCAGTTGGATTCAGCTGCTATCAAACTACTGGCAGATGCTTTTCTGAACTTATGAATCACTGTCCCCTCCCCCCAGCTTTTAGTTCTGGTGCATCTGGTTCCTTTGCTTCTGCACTAGTAATATTGACAGTTCTTTTTGTTTATGGAGATGTAAGATTTCGGCTGTCAAAACATGATTTAAGAACGTTTTGTGCGAGTAATTAGGAAAAGCATAAGCTTCTGACAAGATGAGACTGAGCTTCTGGTAGAGATGAGAAGCGTTGGGAGAGTTAAGCCTAAGCTACAAACTTTTATGTGTTTGTTATTACTTGTTTGTGCGTGTTCTTTGCCAGAAGCAGAATTTGACTGAAAGTCTGTGTCCAGCTATGGATGAAAAATCACTTTTGTTGTTTGGTAGCTTCAGTAGAAAATGCTTTTTGACCTTTGGGAGAAAGGTGGTAAAACTAAACTCAATAGCTCAAGAATTGGAGAGTCAGGAGAGTATTTCTCTACACATTTCGTAGGTGGAACTTCTTAAGTTGAAATAGTTAAATAATATGCATGCATGCCTCTAGTATAACAGGAAAATGGCAGAGCAGGCATTCCTTGTTTATGAGAGAAAGCCCTGAGACACTGCGCCATCCACACAGGAAGCAGCTCATGCCCAGATGTGGCCTCATTCTCTGTAAGGCAGCCACCAGCTCAGACCTCCTTTTTGAGGGTGTGTATTCTAGAATGGTACATTTTAAAGAGATGCTTTATTTCTGCCCCCTGTACTACTGTATGTGCTAACTTAGTGCCCTTAGTATAAAAGGAAGAGAGAAACAGCCTCTAAGAAGCTGTTAGGTTTATATTTGGAGTACTTGAAAACTTTCTGCTCTGCCCAGGAGGGAAGGAGTTCATCTCCATCAACTTAAGCACACCCTGCAAACTTGATTTTAGCACCATAAGCCATCACAGTAGTACTTCAGATATGAATATATTTAATTCTTTTTGTGACAAGATAGGTTTACGTGGTAGAGGGCATCACTGAGGAATCAGTTTTCCAGAATACTCACTTTAATTCAAGAACAGGCAATGTGTAAATGGGGTTCACATTGAGTAACGAAGCACCCTCAGCCAAAGGCTGTTCATTTGTGGCTCCTGAGAAGAGACTAACTACAGGCTTTCAAGCTGATTGGGACATGCTGCTGTGCACATTAAATTACAGCCTAAATCCACCCTCTGACTTAAGACCAAGATATGCTTCCCTTCCTTTATGACACCAGCACAGAAACATGCTGTGGCTAGCGTCAAATTCAGACCAGAATATTTTACTCCCTCTTCCCATAGATTTTGTTACTTAAGAAGATGAAAACCAAAAGGAGAAATATTTGATATTTGCAGGCAAAGAGAATACTCATTTTATTACACTAGGATTTTTTTTTTTGTGGCACCAGTTAACTAGATACCAACAGCATAGTAAACGTGTTACAATAAAAGATGGAAAGCAACTATCAAGAACTCCTACAGCTTGTCGCTTCTTGAGAGACAGTTCTTGTTATCAGACCTTACAGGTTCATTCATCAACTCACTGTCCTAAGGGTGCTGCTTAAAATACAGCATTTTGGTGGTCTAGCACTCTGAGAATACATTCTGGTTGTTTGGCCATAAGTAATACCAGCTCAATTAGCTAATATTCCAGAGGAAGGCATCTGTAATTACTGAGCTTCATTTCCACAAGTATTTGTGCACAGCTGATCCTGTCATCTCAAGTGCATTCAGTCTGACTCTGCTCTGTGCTCTGCCACTCCCTCCGTAGCTTCCCCCTGCACTGGGGCAGTTTCTCTGTCAAACTGCAGAGTGGTGTTTTACTTGATCTCAGACCAGCAAGGAGGAAGGAGCTCAGAAAAGCCAGTTGACTCTTGTACCACGGTTAAGGTACTAAGTAAGCATATCCATTTTCTATTTTAAAACTTCCAATCCAGACAAGATATTACCTCTATTATTTGCTGCTTCGCAGAAGAGCCTCATCAGAATGTTAACCTTAGGTAATTGCCACCTAGACACTTAACAATTTAGGGTAACTTTCCTCAATGAACTTCCATTAAAGGCTATACAGTACCTTGCTGCACTTCAGAAGGCTCCTGAAACAAATTGATATAGTAAACAAAGCATGAGGAAAGTATTAATTATAGGTCAGAATAATTACGGACTCATGAAAATAGTGCTTGTGTCAGTGTAAGCACATACCAGCAGCTCGGGCACTCAGGCTTTCGTAGGCAGAACGCTTTGGAGACTGTCCTGCTCCCTGAAATCCCAGAGGCTTCCTTTGCAATGTCTTCCAGTTTCCCAGAGCTTCTTCCAGTTCTCATCTTTATTTTTCCATCTAGGAAATCAATTTTTTTTCAAGGGCATTAATATCTTGGAAGGATGGATGCAACTGTAGTAATGGTCTTAGTTATATCCTTATGAACAACAAATCTTGTTTTTAATCTGCAGAAAATGGGACTCATCTCCAACCTCTACCTTGTTCCTGCCATACACACAAGAACTGTGATGAATCACAATCTTGCCTGCCAGTTCCCAAAATAAGAAAGTGACTGGTTTGTTGCAGCACTCACAAACAGACAAATCCAAATAGAAGTTCCATCAGATTGGGTTTCCAATTTATTCTCGTCAGGTCAGTCAATCTTTAACTGACTATTCTCTTAAAATACTTATTTATTGAAGTATTAACAGGAATGACAAGGTGGCAGCTTCAACTGGCTTTAGAAGTCGTCTCTGTGTTCTCCCTCTGTGTGCTCTCTCAGATTTTGGCTTGTTTGGATTTCTTGCAGCTGACGAGGAAGATGAATCACTAAACTGATGGGTTAGGAGACACTGCCCACCTAGGAGGGAGCAGGGCAGCCCAGAAGCTAGGAAGTGTACTCTGTAGAGATCCAAAAGCAAAACTTGCATCTAGCCGATTTTAAAGTTGCATTGGTGCAAGCTGGGAGACATAAGTTGGAGCTTCCCACTCAAGTCCAAGTCCATTGGTTGTTTTCTTTTTAAAAAGAGGAATAGTTCTTCCCATTGAAGGCATAGACTTCATTTATGTAACCTGAACATTTGATCTTATACCACTTTGCTGTGGTGCTCTACAAGAAAGGGTGGTATGCATTTCCTAGTTCACACAAGCTGCAGCACAAGTTCACACCTTAACAGAATTGGTAGGTCTTTGTTTCAGAGATGCCAGCTTCACCTAAAAGCTTTAGCCAGGTTATACGTGGTATTGAAGTATCATTGTGATTGAGGTATCTTTACCTTATCAGCACCTTATCAGAATTGTCTTCAGCATCAACAGGTGTTCTGCTCTGATGATCTGTAGTTATGGTAGACTGGAGACAAGACAGGCTCTCCATGTTTATCACACAGTTCATGAGGCACATCTGCAAAAACCACCAGAGCAGTTTTACCAGGTTTGGTTATACCTACCTCTTCCTCAACACTCACAACCCACAAAACTTCACATCATCCCAAAAAAAATTCATCACAGCACTCCTCCAGTTCTCTTTCATTGGAGAATCATGCTTCTAACAGCGTTGTTGCTTTTCTTCCCATAGACAGTTTGAATGAGCTATAATCAGCTTTCTGTATTTTAGAGTTAGTGCAGCTCTCTTGTAGCATTGGAAGCAGTGTGTTGTGCTCTAGGCAGAAGAAGGAGGGAGGTACATCAAGAGCTCATCTGTTACAATAACAAATTAGTTGCCATGTGCTACAGCATTATGTCTTAACTAACACTTGTTTGAAAGCATGGAAGCTAATTCAGCTTTCTTACACATCATCTCAGAATTGAAGTGGATCTGGAAAGAATGTCAAGAGTGAGAATTTTACATGAAGTTGGTAAGACAGCAGGTCACTGCACTCTGACTTCTACAAGATCTATAACCCTTTTGTATTTCCCTAGCTCTAAACCAGGAAATTAAGGCAGCTTCAAATTTGAGTTCAGACCCTCAGTTAAAGAACAAACCAATGCTCTGTTTCTATCTAGTCAGTCAAACCTTACACAGGAGTATGAGACACGTTGCTGGGCTCCCACATACAGGTAGCCAGCACAGAACTCAATTAATTCAGTTCCAAATATGAGATTTTTTCTTCCTGTATATCATCAAAAAAACAATTCTGTAAATGGATGAGACAAAGCCTTTTTCTGCTGCTCGCACACCTTAAGGAATAGATCATGTATGGACACACTTCATGTGTAAAAAATATAATACTAATTTTATTTTTTAATGCAATGCTCAGTACTCTCAGCAGTTACCTTTTCATCCTGAGAATGCATCACAAGCACCCACAAAGAAAAAGAATCAGCATCTTTGTAATATCATTACCAGGGCTGTGGTAAAGACAAAAGAGGTGTGGCAACATCCTCATTGGGCATTGCTATGAAGTTCCCAGATGTTTGGCAGGATGTCCTGGTATGCACAGCAAGGGCATTAGAAGGCTCCATCCAGAAGGTACCTTCCAGTAACTGAGGTACTCTTCAATGAGAACAGGAGCCACCTCTCAGCTGCACAGTGCTGAATCCTGACTGACAGCCAGGATTCTCAGTTGTATCTATGAACATAAGATTCCATTATCAGATTTTTCCTGAAGTAAGGTTTGACTGGGATGTCAGTGTTAGGTACAGAAGATACTTATGGAGAACCTGTCAGATAATTCAGCCTTTCAGTTGATTGTGTTCATGACTAGATATTACATACTTGGGAGAATGACAGGCTTGGCAGAAGGCAAGAGCAAGAAGAGTCATTTTCACATTCATTAGTCTTTGAGATAACAATGCACTAAAGCATTGTGTTATTAGATTTATCCATTCCTTCACTGAAAGGATAGCTTAACAACTTCGAGCAATGTTGTCTTCCCCTACACAGGAGGTGTAGGGGATTTTACTTAGTAGTTCTATGGCAGAGTATTTGTATGTGTCAGTCTACATGCTGTGATGTGTGCACAAGTCATCTACTCAGTAGCTAGTCAGAAGGCTGCTACATAGAGCAGCTGACTTTTTCCCCTTCTGTTTGTTGCATCAAAGAAATAAAGTGCAAGATTGCCCTCATTCCAGGGGAATGTGTACCCCACCCAACCAGATTGCCTGTATGCCTCTTTCCCCCTCACTTCACGTGCTTGGAAGCAAGAAGCTCAGCTGATGTTCTATTAAGCATGGCAGATTTCTGGTCGGGGGCAGGCCTGCTGGGCAAGCAGAGTTCATTTCAAGTCACTGGTTTGAAAAGCAAAAGTAAATTCTATGTTAAAAAGCAGTGAAAAAGTTGCTATTTACATTGCCTTAAATAAAAGTCTTTCTGTGCATGTGAAAATGCTTATGGAGAGCCTCACTAAGGATGAACACATTTTCTGTTCCTCTGTTGGCACAGACTGCTGCTAGCTTTGTACTTAGAGAACATTCTGCATTAGGAAGAAGGGGAAGAGAGAAAGGGCAGAGGAAGAACCATTGTCCCCGTACATGGGGAAACAGAGCATTCCATCTGCAAACTGGATATCTAGAAGTAACTACTATTTGTAAAGCAGGGGAATCTTCTAGAGGTGCTTTAGACATTTGGCTTCCAATTTTAGTCTTTAGAATAGACTCTTTAGTGCATTACAGTACTCACCTCTCAGTCTAGCCCAGCTTAATCCAGTAAAGTCACTTTCTCTCCCAGAACACAAAACAGTGAAAAAAGTCCTTCTAATTGTAAGGCTAATAAGGTCCAGGTGAAATTAATATGATTTTTTCCAGAAGCTCAGTCTAGGAAGTGATGTGGTTTTATTGCTGCTGAGGAAAGAAAGCCTCTAAAGTTATCCACCCTTACATTCTTTACATGCACTGCTATCACAGCAGGCATGCAGAGCTGAGAGTACCATTTCCAGCTGCTTGTTACCCCTTGTTCAGATGAGCCATCCAACCTTCTGCTTTCAGTCAGAGCAGGGCACACAAGCTTATGCAGCTTCAGCAGTAAGCCAAGGAACAAAGACTTGTGATAGGCAAGTAGATCGGGTTAGCAGTTTTACAAACAGCTCAGGTGTTAGATTTGGTGGAGAAAGTTGCACACAGCTGGAGAAGGCAGAGAGCAGCAGCCCTGTCTGCAGCCAGCTGCAGCTGGCACATACCAAAGCTCCCAGCCTCACTCTTGCATCCACTGAGCTTCTGCTCAGCCTCACACTGCCTCCTCCACTACTCAGCACTGTGGGACACAGTCCTCACCACAGACACAGCTCTGCCCACATTGCCTTATTTAGCTACTCTTGCAGCACCAAGTCTAAAATCCTAGGTTAGCATTGTTCAGCTGCTAATACCACATTGTTAAGTCTACACTTACTTAACTTCCCTTACTTAAGAAAATGCCCTTTAGATACATCTTCTCTTTCCTCTTGTTCTGTGCAAAAAGTTCTTAATGTTGATACCACATCACCAAGTTGAGCAATTCACCATTGAGCAAATGCCCTTAGAAACTTGGTTTTCCCACAAACGATGAGCCAGACATGGGAAGCCAGTGGCTGGAAATCCCATGCAGCCTTAGGGAACAAGTGCACACTGTTTTTAAAACAGTCTTTCCAGAAAGAGGGAAAGAAGCCAGCAAGCTTCCACAGCTACTTTGGGCTGTTCATTTATGACACCCTAGTTAATTCACAAGGAGTTATTACAGTTACACTTGCAATGAAAATGCCGTATTTAAGCAGCCCCAGAAAGGAGTTGTTTTTATATGCTTTCCCCTTGTGATTCATTCAAAGGGGACTGTGTTATATTAGTATAATAACAACCTTAAGCTCCACTTCTGTAGGGAAACATTTATCTTCTCAGAAAGAAAAGACAAGTTCCCTAGTCCTATCAGAATCCTGCCTTTGGAACAAGGTCTTCAGAGTTTTAAGCTCCAAGACTCACAAAAACATAAAAATTAAGAGCATCATCTTTATGAAGTAGCCTGAACTGAAGTACCACTTGCAGAATAAAAACAGGTTCCCAGGGAAGGCTGTGAACTTACCTCTTCAATAGCCTGGTCTGTTCCTCAGAGAAGAGAATCAAGCCTCCCTTCTCACCACAGGCAGCCCCATCATCTCCCCCCCATAACCTATATGAAATACAGGCTAGGTAATACCCAGGTGTCTGGGAAGCAAGGCTATCTTCCTCTAGAGCCCCAGCCATGCTGCTTTTATTGTGGCCTCTTCCTCATGTAAATACAGGCCTGCCAAAGGCCAGGTGAAAATGTTTGACATGATCACAGCAACTACTTGATCCTGTCCCGTTGATGCAATGGTACCTTCTGGGTTCCTGCTGAATGAAGTGAAAAGTGGCACTGCTTAACAAAATTGCATGCACAAGCCTCAGTTTTGCCAGTTCTGAAATAGTAAATGCAGAAAAGGAGGCAGGGACGTATTTGAAAAGGTTATATGCAGTCAAATAAATAACTAAAGATAACATTTTAATGTAGGCACACCTGTAGAGGCTTCAGGTAATGCCAATTAGACTTTCTTTTGAGTTTTATGAAGTTACACATTTTAAAACAAAAGATGATGTTTGAAAAAGTATAATACTTGTATCAACTGCATGGAAGTATAGTTTTCCAATACCCACATTGTGATTAATAATCTACTTGTGAAGGAAAGCTGATTGTACTATTTATATGTGGTGTTATACATATACGTGTATGGTATACATCTTTTTTCACAGTAGAAGTAATCTATTCAGTTGTTTCAGCTGAAAATTATATTAATATGCTTTTTTTTTTAAAGATCAGATCTCAACTTGTCTGAGAACATAGCATAGAAGTGTAGAACGGCTTGGATTGGAAGGGACCTAAAGGGTCATCCAGTTCTGTATAGCATATCCCATAAATAGCTACAAATTTGTTATCAAAATAAGTGAAAACAAAAATCTTAGTATGAGCTTAACTGTAAGTTTCCCTGACAATGAAAGCCACAGGAACGGCTGGGAAATAATAGAGCTCATTGGGCTTTTTTGTAATTTCAGTAGTGATTTCAGCATTCCCACAGGAATATCTTTAATCTGGATTCCAATGTTAGAGCAGAAGTTGCCCAGGCCTCCTTCTCAGAGATCCCCTGATGATGTGATGTTCTCCAGTGCTCACAGCAGCGCACTACACATCAGTGTATCTGTAGAGATGCGTTGTGGAGCTCATTCATACATCAGTGTTCAACATTCAGAACCAAATACCAGTCTTCTACCTACTCTGAACTACGTTGGCATGGAGTTTATTGCTTATGGTGTTGGTGCTTTGCTGTAGCTCTTTTCCAGACAACTTACTGTCTTTTCAGACAGCCATACTGTCTAAAGCTGCACAATGCTGGGATGGTTAACTTGTCTAATCCACTAATCCACACTGCAGATTTAAGCAGTTCTCATATTCTAGTGTGTTCCTAAAAAAGCACAGTAATTCTGATATGGAATCCCTGTTTCCTGAGAGTTCTGCCTCTATCTGTCTAAATCCCCCTTGATTCCTCCCCTCTGCCTCTGCTTTCAGTGCACTCTGGTCCATTTATAAGATTACATTCCTCACGCAGCCGCCAGTCATTCCCTCTTGACTGTATTTTCATGGTGGTTTTTTCATTCCTTTCTTGGTCTCTATGCCCCAGGTTTTCTTTCCTTTCTCAGAAGAGACAAGATAATGAACTCGATTTCCTTGAGTAATCTCAATCCTGTCAGCTGGAAATGGAAAACAAAAAAATTGTTTGATCTGTACCGCAGCATGTGGTCTTGCCATTAAGCTAATTTACTGCTTTCACTTTGTAAATAACTTACTCTTGTCCAGAGCAGCAGCTGGTGATTTTATATTCTGTCTTTCCAATACCACGTATCCTGACGTGAGCCGTCAACTCCTTGTCTGCGTAGCGGCCTCCTGGCATGTCAGTGACAATTGTTTGTTGCTCTGAACAATAACAGCAGAGGAGGGAGATGATCTTAAAAGGTGCTTCTGTGACTGTTTTTCTCTTGGAGAACCTCTGACCCTCACTGTGATCTCATCTCGTGAGGTTAGAGGGCTGTTAGCATTCATGTAAACGTTTACATCCTCACTTAATGCCCTGCCTTGGTCTTGAGAATGCTAGGATTCACTGGCCAACTCATGCCTGGAAAAATCTGGCAGTCAGCAGTGAAAATGTTCTTTGTGTTTCCTCTTGGGGGCCCTGTCTGTGAGGGCTGTACTGTTGGCAAGGCTCAAGTATGCCCATTCCTCGTGCACACATGGGCTAACTTACACAAACACAGTGAAGTTCAGGCTGGTGCTGTCTCGTGGGTTGTACGTGGATCTGTGAACCATTTAAAGTAATGCCAGGAAGGATGCGGCTATTTTCCATGCTGTGCCACTCCAGCAAATACAAGATTGGAATTTGTCATTGTGGACTTCATGAAAGTGCTTGTCTTAGTTGTTCCTCTGGCTGATTGGAATTTTTATTTTGTTTATTAGGTGGAGAGTGTTAAGTTCCAGGGTTAAACACTGTTTTCCTGTGTGATCTCAATAAGATTAAATCCCCTTGTGGTTCTCTAATTACATTTCAAGGATACTGAGTTGCTTTCCCAGAGAACCTGTGGTGGTCTGTCTCTAAATGCATCCCTGGTTGTAGAACAGCGCTGGCTTGAAGCAGCCAGGGATGTGCTGTGTGCATTGTATGTCAGAACAGTGCTAGAGGTGTGAGTGTCCAAAAAAAGCCCAAAGTTTTTTGAGTAATTTGCCTTTAGTAAAACTGAGTGTCTTCTGCTCCAGCAATTCCAGTGCAGAGAGTCAGAGTTTTGCTGTGAGGCTGAACAAAACAGCACAACTGTGTTTGCAGCCTTAGTTCTATTACACGTTAGTTTTCACTGTCATAAACACAAATCCTCATAGACCAATTAACAGCTGTCCTCTAGCAACAGTACTCATTTCACCTTTTCTCTGGTGGCTGCGATTGTCGTTTCCTTTGTAAGCTCTGTAAAGGAGCTTTCTTTTCAGGATTCATTCCTTTTTGTCACTTTTTAGCAGTGCTTATGAGAGGGCATATGAGCACACCTGGAAAATGAAGGTCAACTGTCTGGCCTGGTTTCCTGAATAGCATGCAGAGCAGTAATCCCACCCCGAGGGAATACACACAGTCTTTAAGCCAGCTGCCTTGAGCAGTGTGCAGCTTGTCGTGCCCGGAGTGTTTGAACTGCAGTAGCTCCACTGTGTGAGTAAAGCAGTGCCTGTCATTTTTTTCCCCAGCTATACTGTTGCAAAAGGCTTTGGTGTAGATGAAATCTAAGGCTTTATATCCTAAAAATATACTCCAGCTTAACTATTTCTGCTTAATTTTTTCACTGTGGATACCTTTATCCCAGGATGTGGCCAGTTTTGAATAACGGAAGTCACTTCAAAGCACATCAAGCTGCTTTGGAATTAGACTCAATGCAGGATGAGAACATTCTGACAAGGGTTAAATACAGAATGAATAGCTCAACTCTGAATTTGTTCTGGGCCTTATCTGGCTTGGCTTCTGTGCATTGGCAAACCCTTAATTAATTCAGCTGCTGGCAAGAGGTACTCTTTAAAAATTGATATTTTATTGATAAGCTATTGAGGAACAGAAATTCTCTTTGCATAGCACAAGAAGGGTTTAGACAGAATCAGTGTACGAATGCAAGAGAAATTCAGTGCTTGACCTTTTATTCCCACTTTTCTCTGAGTGACATCAAGAATCTCATAAGTGCTCCTTTTACTATTGATTCTGGTGGTTTCAACACCTGTGTGTTTACAATTAGAATAAAACTCACAAGCTCATTTCCTGGAAGGTTGGAGCTACCAGACATCATGGCTGTAGGCTTTATTGATCTGAAGGGGCTTTGGAGAGCTGACTGTGAACCTAAAGATTGGCCAAATAACAACCTCTGAGCCTCTGAGGTCCTTTGCAGAAATTAATTCTTCCTCTTTTACAGACCTCTCTGAAATCAGGACGTGGCTCTGTGAAGACTGAGCTACAGATTTTCCCTGTAGGGAGTTTCTGCACACAGTCTTGTTCCATGGCAGTTTTTTGCTTTGTTTGTGTAGGTGGGCACCTGACTTGACAATGACTCTGAATTCTCCCCCAGCCCAGGATCTGTTCTCAGCAGCACAAATTAAAGAGTGGCATTGCAGGCAGTTTTGCTTCTGCTCTTTCCCCATTCTCTGCAGGAACAAGAGGCTGAGCAACGTCAGCTTTAACAGAAATGTAAAAAGTCAGGGCAGGACTTTCTAGGAACTACTCTCTGTCCCTTATGCAAAAGTGTTGGCCAAATACGAAAGCTCTTGGTACAAAAGTTGCCTGCTTTCGTGTGCCAGACAGTCACTAATTATATAAGAAGGCTGGCAAACACCAAACTATCTCCTGAGAGTTCTTTGAGCTTATGGCTTTATATATAATGGGTTATGTAGAGTAATCTTAGTGTTGGCTCTGTTAGATTCTGGAATTTAGATTTAAGGAACTCTGGTATCTCAGGATTGCTGCTAGAGGTTTCTTAGATTGCTTTCCAGATCTGTTATTTTTCTTCATAGATGGAAGTGCTGGTTCTTGTTAAGGCTTTCTTGTTATAGTTCCAACAAGCAGAATCCTTTCATATCATTTTGGGAGGGTGAATCAATCTCCTGTATTCCATCAAAACTTTTATGGGAAGAAATGTTCCCACTGATATATCTGGAATGAAGATTGAATTTTGTATCAAATTTTATACTTACAGTTAGCATTATATATCAGTTATTCCAGACACTAAGAGGATAGCTAAGTCAGCTTGGGTTAACAAAAAAGCTGTAAAAAAAGTGTTCTCTTTTGAAGACCCATCTCCTTTAGGACATGTTCAGTGTTTAAGTATGTTGATAAATGCTATCAGTCTGCCATTTGGCATACTTGCTGCAGCTTTTTTCTCATCAAGCTAAATTAGGACTGCAGAGAGATTTGGTGTTGAAATCTATGTTTTAAGATGTAGAGTTTGAATGGCCAAGATACTTGGTTCAGCAGAGAGTACTGCAAACAACTG